TGCGGTTTGTGGTGGTGTTTTTTTTTTTTTTTTTTTTTTTTTTTTTTTTTTAAATCTTATCAACCCCAGACTTTAGTAGTTTATATGAACACAATTTAAAATTAAAATAAATATCCATTTTAAACCATTTGATTAAATGTTACAGTCTTATTTATTTATTTTGTTTAGAAAAAGCAACAAAACATTATATCCTTTTATACAAATTTTAGGGTGACGTAATATCTATTTTAAACCAATTGAATAAATATCACATTTTCCAAGATTTATTGGTTGATTGAGTTCCTTTTATTTATTTACTTGATGTAAATATCTATTTAAAAAACATTTGATTAAATATAAAATTTTCCATGATTTATGAATTTGCTCAGTTTTTTTTTGCAAGGCAACAAAGCATATTATTATATCCTTATATACAAATCTCAGGGTGACAAGATCATTTTTAATGTAAAAATATTTTTTGTTAGAGTTCAGATTAGACTTTAACACAGATACAGCTCAGAGCATCCCGACCAGCAGAATATCTGTTTGTCCAGATGAGGAAATGTTCAGGAAACCTGTTTGAAAGTATTAATTCTTTTTTGCTACTTCGCGCATTGCTTGTCACAATTTAGTCAGAACGTTTTGTAACAAGCATTTCTTTCTTCCCTTTAAAAGAATCACACACACGAAAAAAATCAATCAATCAATCATGCAATCAAATAATTACAGCTTGATGTTATTTAATGTCTTTCTAAATGACATTCTAAGTTTCTATTTTAAGTGACATTTTGCAGCAACTCTGGAAGGTTATAGCACACAACCTAATAATACATGTTATTGTGAGATCACTGATGTGAGGGTCGCATGAGGCAAACCAAAACAAGGTAACTAGGTCTTTGGCTGTACAATCTCTTGTTGATTTGTATAATTTGCTGTTTTAGAGTGAGGCGGGGAAGGAGAGCGCTTGTATGAGAGAGAACCGAACACAAATAATGCAGTATGATTTTGCAAAAGGACCTGTTAATGGCCAACACATGAATTGATCTCTCACCAGTCTCACCAATAATTGGGATGCAGACTGTGGTGTCACTTTATTGATTTTTCACTGGTAGCCAACTTGCACCCATGTTGTAGGACAACGATGACTAAATAGCAGCCAGACCAATGATCTTAATGCTAGGAGCCAAGCACAGCTATTGATTTCATTACTGAATGCCTCCTAGGCTCCAAGCACATACATTTTTGTATCGACCCAAGGCGGCGTCTACATTTCTTCCAGCACTGTCACATGCACTGTGCCTGGACATTCAAAAGCAGAATGCTGAGTATGTACAAATACTTGCTTCGGTGCATGTGTACGCCATAAATTTCACATCATGCAATCAGCTTGTGAAGGTGACCTGCTTTGATAGGGCTGACAGTTTTATGCCGTACGTCTACCTCTGTTTTTTACATGGTTCTCTGGAATACTTGATTCTGATTTGCCAACTGTGCATTATGCTAAATATTTTTGCATAATGATTACCAAACAGTATGTCTGACCACTGTCCATGTCAACTTAACAGTGCTACCAAAGTCCATTTCAAAGAAAATCAGGTCACTCTGCGGCCATATTTGCAATTCCTCCAGGCAGCTATTTTAGGCATGCAAGACTAACTCGAGTTACTTGAATGGTGAAATACTCAAACCTTGTTTCTTATGCTAAAATAGTACTTAAATGCAAGCATTTCAGGTACAGCCAGTGTGCATGTCCAGTTGCAAGCGACACTGAAGCCTGATTTATACTCGTCACTGGCAGATGTAACTTTAGCCAACAATAAACTACTTTAAGGCAAAATTTGCTGAAAAGATGTGGAAAGAACTTATAACATCATACGCAAATATATTTTTACATTCCTAAAAAGTATATATGGAAGAGTGTAAGCATTTTAGAGAACATTGTTTATGCATTTACATGGATAACTGTTACTATGGCAACGGGAGCTTAATGGCAACTGCAGTGACATGAAGATTTTACCAACTGGCGATTGGCTGGTGATTTACTGGTGATTTATTCCACCATATTGCATGCTGCAGTTTATCCCATTCGTAGTAATAGGAGTGAACCATCTAGATATACTCTACATGCTTATATTCTCCAGTCTCATATTATTCTGCGCTAAATAAAATCTTAGTAATATGAGTTAATGAGATAAAAAGTCAATTATGATG